AGAAGTTCATTAAAGGTTCATAACAAAGTTCCATATTGTTCACCTAATCTTCCTCACTCGCAATTTGTCGAATTCGCTCCCTTGCTTCAGTAGCAGCTGCTCTCGTGGTTCTCGGGCGATATTCTGGGGCGTTTGGGTTAAGGGGATGACACGGTTCACGATCACAGGAAAATTCGAGGGGAAATAACTGTTGAACAGCACGTTCTAATGTACCTTTTCCGGTCTTCAACACAGCTCCCCGTGCAACATTGTCTTTTCCATGTATCATTCGGGTTACAACAGCTATTCTCCAACGGTTCCGTGGTTGATCCTCATCTCGCACAACAACTACGTCACCAACCTTTGGATACGACTGGTCATTCTGTCGTCCCAAATTCCGATGTTGTTCACGGAGGCTTCTCACATATTCCCGACTCCATCACTTCCACATCGACAGTTTGCACCTCTTCAGAACCTTTGCCCGTTTCTTCAGGTCCTTGCATTCAATTTGATACGTCTCCATCTCTGGCAGGTGGCAAGGATTAACTTGGAGCAACGAATTCGGTGTGAGGACTGGTTGTTGGACGTCATCTTCCATGTATGTGAGTGGACGATTGTTCAACGCTACCTCTATGTCCAAAACTACTTCTTCTAGCTCCGACCATTTGAGCGCACCATTCCCAATTGACTTGTAGAATGCTTTCTTAAACAAACCGATTAGCCGCTCAAACTGCCCCCCCCCCCCACCAGGGAGCGCGGCTCAGATTGAATTGCCATTTGATCTCCAGCTTCGCGAGATAGTTATTAAACTGCTCATCCTTTCTCACCTTCTGTAACCACTTTGCCGCTGCCTTGAATGTCGTTCCATTGTCTGAATAAACTAGTTTTGGTCTCCCTCTTCTCGCAATAAATTTCTTAAAACACATGACGAAATCCTCCGTCTCTAATGATCTTACCAGCTCCAGATGCACGGCTCTGGTTAAGCTACATGCAAATAGTGCTAGATAAGCGTTCTTCTCTTTCTTGCCCTTGACTTGGTACTTAATTGGTCCTGCAAAATCTACGCCTAAGTGCCTAACACTTGGTGTAGGTGCCTAACAAAAAGGTGCAGTTTCTTGTGTTCTCGTACTTGGGAAGTTTCCCGGTGGTGGTGTTTGTAACGCTTTCGCCTGGAATCGTTTGCAACCATGGCACTTCGATCTTATCTTCTTGACCAGCTGGCGCAATCGCGGAACCCAACGATGTTCTCGTACTTTCGCCATTGTTATTCCAACGCTGCCGTTGAGGGTTGAAATGTGTGCGTGGTGGACTAAAGACGTGGTGAACGGATGATGGTCAGGTAGGTAAATTGGATATTCCCGGAATATTCGACCGCGACACTCTAAGATCCCTCGGTTATTGGGTTGAAGGTTTAAGTGTAGTTGATCAACTTCAAATCGTACGTCTTGTTGTGCTTGGAGTTGAGCACGCTTTATCCAACACAATTTCACTCGTTCAATTTCTTCCGTATCGATCGGACCGCTTTTTCTCTTGGGCTTCGTTCTGCAGTTATCAAGGAAGCGCTGTATCCAGGCTCCAATAGGTAGGACTTTAACCAAGCTGAATTTGTCGAGCAACTGGTCGAACTCGTCTTTCTCAACCGATGCTACTGCTAAGATTTCTTGTTTCACTTTGGCTTCAGCTCTTGTTTCAGCGGTTGCCTCTAAGGTTACGTCTGTAGGCCATTCAGAACGATTTCTCAGCCATGTAGGGCATTCTCTCCACAGTTGATTAGTTGCCACAACTCCGCCTCGACTTCCCACGTCTGCAGGATTCTGTGCTGTTGGTATGTGATGCCAGCTTACTTGACTATGCTCCTGAATTTTCCGTACACGGTTCGCCACGAACTGACGATAATCTCCTTTACCCTTTATCCAGTAAAGGGCCACGGTCGAGTCAAGCCAGCAGAAGGTCTCCACGTGGTAATTGCTAAGTACCGTTTCTACGTTTGATACAAGGTTAACTGCCATGTGACCAGCTATGAATTCTAAACGCGGGATGGTTTGGTTACGTTTGGCAATTCCAGATTTGGCACAGACAAGTCCTTGTGTTACTTCATCAACTTGATGGACGACGGGGTATACCGCTACACAAACTCCCTGTGAACTTGCATCTCCAAAGCTGTGCAGTTCGATACCAGTGACAAGAACACGATGAGGTGTAAGAGGTCTGGGCTGACTGGGCACTGTCAATTCTTCAGTCAACGAGCTTCTCCAACTCTTCCATCGTTTCAAGAGGGGTTCTGGTAACTGTGCATCCCACGATATCTTAGAGTCACAAATGTCCCGATAGAGTAACTTAGCAACAAGCACAGTTGGTGATACAAGACCCAAAGGATCGTACGATTTAGCAATCTGGGATATAACCTCTCTCTCCGTTGTGCAAGTGTTCACATCAAGGCTTATGCTAAATGTGTCTCTTTCTCTGTTCCACGGTAATCCCAGTAATTTCCCACCAACTTCTCCCCCCTCCAAGCTGTTGTTTGGCATAGCTCACGTCCTCAGACTCAACTGATGTTCCACTATCCCCCTCAAGCTCCTTGGCTTTGGAGTGCCATTTGTGGAAGGAGAATGTTGCATCCTCGAACAATTCCGCTGCCATGACTTTCTTTTCTCCCGTTTCTTCCACTGTAACACCACCGGTCATTAAGTCATCGACATAGAGCCCCTCTCGTAATTCTTTCACAAGTTCAGGATACCGATCTTCCCAGGCATCGAGATGCTGGTTCAGGACTCCAGCAAGGAGGAATGGCGAGGATGTACGTCCAAATAACGCTCTTGTGAACCGGTAAACTTTAATCCCGTCACAGTCTGGTTCCTTCCAATGGAAGCGCAAAGAGTCCCTCTCTTCCTGCTTGATTCTTATTTGTAAGAACGCCTTCTTGAGGTCACTAGTGAGTAGAACATGATTGAATCGTGATTTGACTAGAATGTCCCAAAGTTGATTTTGTAGGGATGGTCCGGGGTGCAGACAGTCATTTAACGAAGGTTTGGTGTTATCTTCCCTTGCGGACGCATCATAAACAATGCGAAGTTTGGTGCTTTCTGCTTCTTTCTTTACCACCGCCTTGTGGGGGATGTAGTACACATTTCCAGTTGGTATCTCAGGTGCAGCTTCGACTATGCCCTTCTGTAATTGCTCTTCAATAACTGCATTGTATTCTTCAAATAGTTCATTCTTCTTCAGCTTCAGCTTCCGGATCAAGTTTCCAGCCGTTTCTTGCTACCCATTTCATTTGTTGGCAAGGTTAGATGGTTGCCCTTCGCACCGAAGACTACGTGGATTGGAATCTGATCTCGGTTTGCTGGATCTTCGTTGACTTTCACTCCCTCAAGGTGGGTGTATGTTTCGCAAAGTCCCTTGAAATTCGGGTTGTTTATCATCAAAAGTTGTGGTTTGTGGACTTTAGATAACTCGATCTCCATGTTAAATTTACCATCAACCGACTGAAGATTAGCTGAATATATCTCTACTTTGGTTGTTGTAGAACTTAGCATCATGTCCACCCTTCTTGTCTTTACTTGCTTTGGTTTCTTGTGAAGTATTTCAATCAACTTTGCTGACGCATATGAACTACTAGCTCCTGTATCTAAAAGGGCATGTGTCTTGATCCCATCAATTTCAATCAACACAGTGGGGTAGATTACTTATATACCTCCATATGCGCAGTTAACACTGGCTTTGGTGGACCGGTCGCATCGCAAATTGAAGTATGATGTCGTTTGCCACAGTTCTTACATGTCCCTGTGCTCCTACATTCTGACGCTCTGTGTGCCGCACCAGTGCAATTAAAGCATAACTTTTTCTTTGCCAAAATAGCCTTGCGTTGGTCTGCCATTCTAACCGAGTCACACTCTGATGATCGATGGTTATGCCCATCGCAGTATACACAAGGGCGTTTCTTACTCGACTGTTCGGTTTTACCTTGTTGTGTCTGGTAGTAATGTCTCGTCATCGTGTCTCGTCGATCTCGTTTCTTTGATGGATCATCTGGTTTCGCATCATCAATTACTGGATGTTTTTATATGAAGTTTTGGCAATTTCGCTTCAATGTTTTGCTTACTTCCCCTTGTATACACACTAACTTCCGGTGCAATTTCAGATTGTAATTTCACCTTATCTTCGTGTAATTTTAGCACAAATTGTAGTTGTTTTTCCCGTTCTATTTCCTCTCTTTCTGCTTTTTCCTCGAGTTGTATTTTCTCCTTTCTCGCATCTTGTTCGTCTAACCATTGCTCTAAAATTTCAACCATACCGTCGGCTTTTTCTATCGTATTCTCTACGGTTTTATTCCACTCTTCGATCTCCTCGGCACTTGTTTCTTTGGAAATGTTCTCTGCTTCGACTGTTAATCGCAATTTATTTACCACAGCTATTGTTTCTTTCAAGCTCTCCCCGTGTCTGGCAATCGCTCGTTTCTTGTTTCCATTAAGAATTGCATCACTTTTCTCGGTTGCCATTTGCAACAGTGTTATTTTGGTTTTTAAATTTGCCTCGGTCATCGCTAAATATCGCTTGTTTACGTTGATTTACGCTCTAAAAATCACTTGCGAGATCTCACTGTCCCATCCAGGGGTGCCAGGTGTTGGAAAGAAGAAAGTGAAGAAAGTTTTCACAACAAATCATTAGTTTTAAAGGTTTAAATACTCGAAATACAAAGTTACTTTTCTCTCAGAATCACAGTTTCAATATAATCCCATGGCATGCAACCCTCCGCTGCGTTACGTCATAGCATGCATAATTTAACATAATTAATATGAATGGAGTATCTTATTTTTCGGACACTATAGGGGTGTTAAGAAGTTGATGAGCGATCCACACGTTGTAAGCCAATGAGATTGTTAGTTACACAGGGTGTACTTACGTACCAGCATGTACGCCAATATTACGGTCTGGTGCTTCTTTGTTTTCAGCCAAGTACCACGTAGGTACGCGGAACTCTCGCTATCTGCGTACTTACTTTCTGCTGGTATCACATGACCTTTCCAAGCCCGAGGTATTCAATAATACCGTAATTTAGTCGGTATATCATGTGTCTGAGGATGTGTCTGAGGATGTGTCTGTGTATGGCACTAGGAAACGTTGGAGTCGATTGTTTGTACATGCAATTGTGGTTCTTTTTCTACCTCGTAATCTGAACGTACGTTTCAGAAACCTGTACTTTATGAACCTTATTTTAAAGACTAAGTACACATTGAGTACTGAGTGTGTACTAGCTCAAGTACACGACAACAACCATTGGCGTACCAGTCAGGTACGACTAAAAATCTTGAATTATCGCACCCTGAGTTACAACGTCAATAAAGGCCAATTTACACTGCATAACTCTTTTTCCCTAAAACTGTCGCATGCAACCTGTTACAACTTGAGTTGCACTGTGTAAATCAAGCACATAACTCACCTACGACAGCATAGAGGAGTTGTGTAGTGTAACATAATTATTTGCTATGTTTGTAAACGTCAGAAACATTAGCCTCTGATTCAGAAACAAAGGAATTGAATAGTAAATGTCAACATCTTCTAGCCCTTGTCATTATAAGGGTATAGGCAATAGCATGCGTCGATTTTCTCTCGTGTTGTTACGGAAAGGGTAATACTGTACGCACTTACCCCATGACTAGCATGTAATTTTTCTAAGAGAGACGCGTCAGTTCCTCTTGGAAAACGGCTTTCTTCGTCAAATAACGACAAAACACCAACTTTCTAAAAACAAAAGTTGTAACTTTAATATACAGTAGAATAATATGCGGTACACAATGAGCTCCATATATCTGTTGCGAGAACTTTAGTCATTCGGCATACGGTCAACAAGATAGCAAAGAAGGTAAAACAGTTTTAATTCCATTTTCCCCAGCTAATTCCAGTTTTTTCTAACGGACCGTATCGCTAAATAGTTATCATGCTGTTCATAAAACCATAGTATTATTCTTTAAATCGAAGTCAAAATACAAAATTTCGGCACACTCCTTGCCAGCCTCGTGTTAACCGCGCAGACACAAAAACAATACAAAGGACCAGGGCTCGAATTTTATCGCGGCAATTGCCGTAGAGGGAGAACAAAATGCCGTTGATCATTACGGCAAAGACGGCAATCTTTTGCCGTATAGTGCAATTTTTATACTATTCACTGTGCATTAATTACTACTTTGATACTTGAATTCAGATGTTAATCATGCGTAAATCACTATTTTAGTCTCAGTTTTCTTCGAAAAAAAAACACTAAAGAAATACGTAGACATGTTTCTAGCTTGTCAAAAATCCAAAGTAACAAATAAAATTGAAGTTTTATTACAGTAATTTGAAAAATGCCGTGGAAACTGCCAAAATTGCCGTAGACAGCTGTTACGTTCTACGGCAATTTTTAACGCCATTGCCGTCGATTGATTTCAGGGAAATTCGAGGCCTGCAAAGGACTGGAACTGACATCCTTGACTTCACTTTTCGACTCGAGTTCTCGCTACATTTCAGAAAATGAGCATTGTCTGAATCAAAATTTGCAAAACGTCAACAAATGCCAAATTGCATAGAAGCAATGAAAATACTGTAGCTGAGTCTCGCTTTTGATAAATACAGTATAAACGGGATGCCAATTGATCATGGTCGGAGAATGCTGTCCATGCTTACCTTTTCAATTAAATCCAGGCATTCTCCATTATCAACCCAATCAATATCTGCCCATTCCAGACCTTCCCTGTCATAAAAATATAAAACAAATTAACTGTCGAACTCCCCTTTTATAGGGGTGTATAGATTATTACATCTAGGCTACATTTAAATAATCTGAAGTAACCGCATAAAACTGATGTATGAAGATTTATAGTATCTAAACACTAATTGCACACAAGCAAGAATGTCCTAATGTCAGGCAAAATAGACTTGAAGCTTGTTGTTCCGTCTCAAATGGCGATTAAATTGGAAGGGACATTTTATAGATCAGAACTGTACGATAGTTTAATCATATTTTTTATTATTTTAGTTCAGTCATTTTTATCATTTTAAATTTTGTAACCGTTTTAGTAATTTGTAAATACATATAGCATGCACTCTTGTAAATAGATTTAAATGCTCTCAAGATGTTGTGATATATACAACGAATAATTTCTATTCTTTATTGTGTATGTCTTGTTTGAAAGTCATATGCTGGGTTTTAATATTTATTTTTAAGCTGCATTTCGTTTCCAAAAGCTATCCAATCTACAGCTGCAGGAAACAAAATGCAACATGTACATGACAGTACATGCGTCCTTTTGGAAACTGGTGTACATTTAAAACATCATACATCTTAACTGGTGTACATTTAAAACATCATACACTTACAATAAATTATTTAAAACATTTAACATTAACGATCGAGATATATTAATTAAGGTTATGCAATAACAAAAGCGAAATTGTATTTAGATACTTTCTTTGAACACGTTATAAGACACATTAACTACACCTTTAGTATGATCTAACGTTATAATCTAGGTTTTTGGAGTGTATTGGTGACCACAAGTAACATATGAAATTACAGACGTTCACCCTTACCTGTTGTATTCATGCTGCTCCAATGAAAATATGTGTTTGTTAAAGAATTGTTGAAGTTTCTCGTTTGCATAGTTGATGTTAAACTGTTCGAATCTGTTTGTCTAAAAATACATTAAATTTTATATTAATAAATTTCATAGTGTCGGCAACCAAATTATACAATTATTGATATTTTCAGTGTTGGGTGTCAATGTTGCATGATAGCGAAGAATGCAACGGACGAGCTTGGATGTACTGTAGTATCAACTACCTTAGACGTAAGAATAAACTTATTTTTCAAGCAGTCGCAAACTTATTTTTCAAGTAGTTGCATTCTACGTCCAAGCTTGCACGCCATCCATATTTCCATAGCGGCAAAAACATTTCACAAAACCCACGGTGCGATAATAGGCACACCAATATACCAGTACTCGTATACGGAGTACTACAACGGGGTTTTCCACGACCAAATATCAGGTAGGTACGCGTTATTCTCGCCACCTAGTAGCATGTACAGTATAATTATATTCGCTGTTACCATGCGGCTGTAGCGCAGATTTGTTACTTCTAGCATCAGTATAACAGGCCATATTTAATGTATCGTTTGGGCTGGTTAATGCTAACTAGTATAATTTCAGTATTGAAAAATGGCCTTTGAGTATTCTGATTGGTTCCCTCAGCAGTAACTCTGAGGCAATAGTTACTGCTCAGACTCCTGAGCACTCCTCAGAGCAGTAACTATTGCTTTTCCCAAAAACATGGCTGAAAATCAGACGGAAGAAAATTATTTATGCAAATTATATTCATAAAATAAACACGTGTATTATTTGTATTCATAAATAAAACTTTTTCAATACTGAAATTATACTAAAACAATCAGTCACCTCAGGCTCGGTGATTACAAACCTATATTCCCCTCGCCTTCGGCGACTAATTGTTAATTAGATAATGATATATTTAGTGGTTGTAACTATATAATTAGTTTGTTGTTCTTGTTATATGAAATTGGCACTTCTGCTGCATGGGACATTTTGATTGGACACCAGATATAAAACTACAGACAAGTGTGGGCGAAAAGCGACAGGACCAAGACTTGTGTCAGGCTGCGTATGTAATACAGAGCATGATCGCAGGTTATACTGTATATAAAACACACCTCAAAATTTTCAAACCCAAATATATCAAGAATTCCAATGGATGCGTAATTACTGTTTCCTTTGATACGAGCGTTTATTCGTTCAATGATCCATTTGAAGGTGCATGCGTAGAGCGCCATTGACATTGCGTCTCTGGAGTCCTCAGCCTGAAACACAGAGAAAGAATATATGCACTGTTTCTTTAGTCGGGATGTTTTTATATTTATTTACCAATACACCGTACATTAGCATCATGCACATTAGTATTTACAGTATAGATGCATGAACTTGTGGTTAGAGCTCGACAACTGTCTCTCGGTAACTCAGTTGGTTAGAGCGCTGCACCGGAATCACAGTATCGCAACAGGTGGGAAATTTGTCGTCGCTGACCAAAAAATCGCGGGCAGAAACAAAGCTCATTGCATTTACATTCAAAACAAAGCAGAAAGTTAGCAAGAAGCTGTTTTAGCTGACGATTTTTTGCTTTCCATTCAACGATTTACAAAT